ACCACTGTACAAATTTTTCAATAACGTTCATTTTTCATAAAATTTACGGGATCGAGGCCGTATAACTAGCTGGAAGAAAGTTGAGTTATTAATATTATTTCAAATAGTCGGGATATCTATTTGTTTTAGAACTGTTATTATCCTCTTGCTTTTATCTCTTCCATCGACTTTTTCTTAAAATGAGTAACGGATTTTACCGAAAGCCAGAAAATGGCCCGGACGGAGGCCTAGACGGCCGATTTTTGGATCGAGACCGGTGCTAATGGGGCAAAGCCCAATTGGCGCGACGTTCTCCTCAGAACGAGGATCGCGGGCATATGCTGTGGGCTGCACGGTTCATCCGATACGAAAAGTTATGCGCGTTTGAAAGCGGAGGGCCGCACCGGTCAAGTTATCAAAACAATAAAATGCATATGTTGACGGGAGCGATCATACTAGCACTAATGCACCGAATCCCATCAGAACTCCGAAGTTAAGCATGCTTGGGCGAGAGCAGTACTAGGATGGGTGACCCCCTGGGAAGTCCTCGTGTTGCACTCCTTTTTTCGTACCCTCGACTATGTTTTTTTTTGTTTTGGGGGGGTGGGGGGGGAAGAATAGATCTAAAGTCATTCGATTTGTAATTTTTTTCGCTTACTGGACACTAATAAAAAGAAAAAAAATGAGCGGTACTTATGCACGAACCACAGTATAAATTTTATAATAATGTTCATTTTCTAAAATTTAAGAGATCGAGGCCTTATAACTAGCTGAAAAAAATGTTGAGTTACTGATAATATTTTATATTAATCGGGATATTTATTTATTTTAAAACTGTTATTATCCTCTTGTTTTTATCTCTTCCATTGAATTTTCTTAAAATGACTAACTGATTTTACAGAAAGCCAGAAAAGGGTCTGGACGGAGGTAATTACATAGATAATTCCAGTCCCATAGAAGCTTATTAGAATAAGCAGTGCACAAAACCAAACACACTTGTGACAGAGTGAACTGATTCACCGAAAGGTAAGTGACAACACGGTTGGATATTTTTTAGGCCAAGTTGATCATAGTAAATTGATTCAATGTATATGGCTAATCAATTGAATTTAGACATAAAAATTGACAACCAAACTGATAATGTAGTTAGATACCAAGGAGCCCCGATATACTCGGGACATACAGCGTTCCGCTACAAAATAGAGTAAAGCGCAACTTAAAAGGATAAACAAGGTTCAGGTTTAGAAAATATAAGATAGCACCAACCTAGACATATTAACAAAACCAGCAAGACTGCATAAACACACAGCAAAACTATCCAATGGAGCCATCACAGAGTAAGCCAAAAATCCTACACAGAATAATAGAACTAGGAGTTGATGGACTGTTGGAGATGTTTCGCCTGTTTTGTCTTCGCCTTCGAATGCATCAACAAGACCTTGGTATACTCAATATTCAGTTTTTTCCAAGTCTTTTGATTTTCATCTTCCATTTCCCCCTCCTTGAGCAAGTGCTTTGCAGCCGCCAAAGTCCTTTTATCAAAACCTTTCAACTCTTTTCCCATCAAGAAAGACCTCATCATCTCACTATTTCTATGGTCCCCATTGGCATTAGCTTTGTTGAAATAGTTTTCTTTCTCAGCCCCCCACACTTTTCTGAAAGCTCATAAACTTCCTGTTCGTTCTTCTTATCCTTCAACTTAATTTTTGGAGTCCGTAGCTTCCTTCTCTTTGAGGTCAACGCTTTTCGAATTTTGGCCCTTCTCAACGGTGTTCCTTCCGGAGTCCCCCCATCTCCCGCCGCGATTATTAATGATTTATACAAATAGATGACTGGATATTTTTAGTTTTATTTCTTAATTATTTGATTTTGTAATTTTGGAATCTGAATTATTGTGTGAATCATTTTTGCGTACTCAAGCATAAAAAAATTTGAATATATATATATATATATATAATACATATATAAATAATTCTTTTGTTACATTCATTCAACAAATAAATAAAGTGAAAAGGAAATAGGCATGAATCCTGTCAGATCATATCGAAGAATGAGCATGTGTAATGTTGATTGTACGGTCCAACTGGCATTCGGTCGGTCAGTTTCGGACACGACCGTGTTCGTACGCGATTTTAGGCCGTACGGACTGGTCCTTGTACGAACCGGCCGGCCGGACGACCCGATGTTGTCCGCCGGCGACAGCCAGTCGTGACCGGTTCGACCGGCCGGACGCCTAGTGTTTTTTTGTTGAAAATAATATTATTTTAAATTGTTATGTTATATATTTGAAATAATTTTGTTATACATTGGACGTTAGATATTATCGTGTTAGGAGTTATAAATTATTATGTTATATATTAGAATTATTATGTTATATATTAGACTTGATTATGTTATAAATTGGACGGTAGAACAGTTAAAAATGATTATGTTATAGATTTGAAATAATTATCTAATAAATTGGACGTTAGACATTATCGTGTTAGGAGTTAGAAATAATTATATTATCTTGGAAAGTTCAAACAGCCTATCCTCGGGGGATTCGAGAAGACAGGATTCTCGCCATTTTTTCCCTTCTTGAGGGCATTCAAGTACCTTTGCTTCAACCTATTGACCTTTCTCCTCAGCTGCTCCTTCGAAGACTCGAACTTCAGATTCCCCTTAATGTAATCGTAAAAGGCAGCCATATCAGCGCTCGGGCTGCCCCTGAAGGAGATTAGCCCTTTCAGCAGGGTTACCTCTTCCTCGTCGCTTCACAGCCTGGTAATGCATCCGCCGGGGAATTTTGCCGCCTCAACGGTCTTCTCCTTCTTGCCGTTAGTCGTCAGGAGTTCATCGTCGCGGGCGCGTTATGATGTGAGTTTGGGGGTTTTGGGGATAGGCGGCAGCCTGTTGTCGCCCCGATCCGAATTAGAAACCGACCCTGTATCCTGGACGGCGCCTCTGGATTTCGCCACCACTTTCATCGTCGGAGGAGGCTGAATCCGATTGCAGTTCTTCACTTTCTTCTTGTGGGAAGAGGGTTCTCTAGAGGCCATTCTCCTTTCTGTTTTTCTAGCAAGTAGCGAGTGAAGTGAGGAGTTAGGTCAAAGTAAGGGTCTTTCACACTGGGTTTTATATAGGAACTAGTACGAATCCGGTATGAGATATTAATTAATAATTATAAATTAAAAATTCTTATAAAATAGTATTTATAAATTAAAAACATAGAATCAATGTGTAATACTACAATGTACCTATATTAATTTATTAAAAATATTATATAAAATTTAAATTGTGCAAAATTACGTAAAATGTCTATTTAAAATCAGTAAACAACTCGTGCGTTGCATATATATGATAATAAATTACATTATATTCATTTCAAAATATGTGTCATTTCAAAAGTTTTACTAAGAATTTAGATTTTGACTATAACGTGATTCCGTAAAATAACTATTTTGGTAAAATTTTATCATATATTTAAAAACCTATGTGAATAATAAAATTTAAATTGTGCAAAATTACGTAAAATGCGTATTTAAAATTAGTACGCAACTCGCGCGTTGCATATAACTGATAATAATTACATTATATTCGTTTCAGAATATGTGTCATTTCAAAAATTTTATTAAGAATTTCGATTTGACTATAACGTGATTCCATAAAATAATTATTTTGATAAAATTTTATCATATATTTAAATTCCTATGTGAATAATAAATATAAATTTTATCTCTGGGATCCTGTTCAATACATAAATGTACTAGTGCAATTAATCAGTCAAGACCAACGGTAGCGTTGACACTACAACCGTTCTGATGGGGTGTTCATTTCCATCTAGGTTGTGAACCATTAATTCTTGTTTCGCAAGTAATTGATAGAATGATCTTCTGTTCACCCGATGATGACCCATTCTATCTAAGTGCAAAACAACAGAACATAAAACTTGTTTAATCGAACATGATTCTCATTCATAAAGGGCAAATGTGTAATATCATCCAAAGTCAAGCTTTTTGTATATAACACTAACACCAATCACCAGGGGTCTTTGCTGCAAATCACCTGAGATAGTCATCGTCAATCCTTCCTAGATAATCACATTGACAATCTCCCTACAAGTGTCAATCTCCTTGTCAGAAGCCTGCCAAAAGCTGTTTCCACCGCCCAAAAACATAACGCACGGCCCAATGTGGAACGTCTCACTGCCTACAGGTTAGATTATTAGGACAGGTGTCCCGCTACATGTTGTGTTGCATGTAACAAATCCATCCGGAGACTGCCACGTGTCCAATCAACCTTTCTTCTTTTCGCTATAAAAAGCCATGCTATTTATCACCCAAAACCATATGAGGAAACACTCGCTAGATACATACATGTACAAAACGTAAAATAGTACAAGACTATACTACTCAATTTCCCCCCAGAGAAAATAATTATTCTCCTCACTGGTGCCTCAATAGACCGGTGAAGTTTACGTGTCTTTATTTTTCGCACTTACGCTTTTAATTTGTTTTAAATTCACTTGATGCCCATGTTATTCCATAGTTAGCATATTACAGCTTCATAATTGTGTTAGCAAAATTGACCATAAAAAAAAAATAAACAAATTTATAGCAAATCACATGCATTAGCATATATTTGCGATAAATTTCGCATTATATTGAAACCAGATATTATTATTATTTTTTTTTTCCGAAACGATAGAGGTTTAATAAATAAATGCACAAATGTGCAAAGTTACAGGCACTAGCTGAATAATACAACCGACGACTGAGAAAACTGGGAGGACAGGTCCGAAAACCGACTAAATCCGAAAACTAGCAATGCTAGAATACTCGACAACACACTAGAAAACAAACACACTAAAAAAACTAAAAGTTCCCAAGAGAAGAATGAGAGAAAACGGCCCCAACAGGGTAATGCTCACTCACTACTCGGGCAACACAGGGGCCAACAGCCAAACCAAAAACACAATACAGAACTACAAAACACATGACTAACACAGATAAACTGAAACACCAAAATAAAATAAAACTAACAACAACTAAAAGAACTAAGCCCTCCCTCGGCAGAACATCCGAAATGAGCAGCAAACAAAGGCCGATTCCATGGAGAGAACTGAAGCACAGGACCCACGCCCGCCACTGCCTATTGCCTAGCAAAGACGAGGACCCGCGTCCCGAAACAATCAACACAAATCGACCCGCTCTCCAGCCGTAAGAAGCCACAATCGCCCTCCAACCGGCTAACACCACTAGCCCAGTCCCACACCGTTCCGAGGTTGGCTAACACCACTAGCCAAAACTCGAAACGGCCGGCCTCCCTCAGACTCCAAAATAGAGAACGAGGTAGGAAGAGAAACGAATGGCTTCCAAGCCCAACCGAACCCACGTAACCCTGATGAACAACCCGCTCTCCACCTAGCCCCAAACACCCTGCCCTTCACCCCAACAACAACGAGAAGCCGGCGACCGGAGGTCGCGAGATAATCTCGCCGGAAGTAAGAGATCGAAAGTAGAGCAAACCTCAGAGCCCGGTGAGATGAGTCGCCATGACCCGGAGAGAACGCAGGCGGTCAGAGCCACCACCATCTCCCGGCGCAGTACTCGACAGAGAAAGAAGAGCCCCGCTACCAGACCATGGTTGTGCAGTGGAGAGCCGTTCACCGACAGCCCGGACGGCAGCCGAAGGAGACACAAACCGGCGGATTTAGGAAGCTAGGTTTTTGGCGGTTTGGGAATTTGGGCGTTAGAGAGAGAAATTTTTAGTGTTCGGTTGTTGGAACCAGATATTAGTTAATTTCAAACATTACCATTTTTTTTAAAAGTATATAATATAAGTAAATAGCAATAAAATAATATAAATAAGTAAAACGATATATCATCAGATTCCGTCATTGTTTTACTGAAATTATTCAAAGCAATCATCAGAAATCAAAACATTACATATATTGATACAAATCTGCAGATTTAACAAATAAAAAAGTTACCATCTCAATCGAAACCCACAAAACTAAAAAAGAAGTTTACTGAATGACTAAGAATTAAGATTGAAAATTAAATAAAAAAGAAGTTTACTGAATGACTAAGAATTAAGATTGAAAACTAAAGTTACCCAGTTTTGCTATGTAGCCATCGGATGGCTCGGCTTATGGAGCCATCCACACTTATTCACCAATAGTGTATTGACACGTGTCCTGCAATAAATACACTTTGGACAAGTGTCAATACATTAAGTGGTGGATGGCTCCATAAGAAAACCATCCGATGGCTCCATATAATTTTTGTGAAAGTTACCATCTCAATAGAAACTAGGGCTGAGCATGGGACTCGGAGAATTCTGAACCGTTCCGAAAACCGAACCGAAATCACTCCGAACCGAAAAATATCAGTTGACCGTTTGACTTTTTTCGAACCAAAAAACTAATTAGTGATCTCCGAACCGTACCGATCCATGCTCACCCCTAATAGAATCGATTTCTTGAGAAACCTACTTTATTTGGAAAAAATCATTATATTTATTAGTGTAAATGACATATACAGTAAATGGTGATTTACTAATGGAAATTTTGGATTAGAACCATTTTCTTCAAATGATTTAAATTTCAAACGAAAATATGTCAAATACGGAATTATTTAAATATGTTTAAAAAATTCAAATATTGTAAAATTAAAATTTGTAGGCGGGATTTTTCTTATTATTTAAGGTAAATATTACTTAACTTTTTTATATATTAATCGATATACTAAATAAAAATACATTTAAAAAAATTATATACCTCTTTACTCTGAAATAGAAAATAAGAATGTATCAAGGAGCTCAATATTATATATACATCGAATTCGTAAATATTTTATGGAAAATCTATTTTACTTTCTTTCATAGTAAGATTGCATTCATAATTTTCCTACTGACTTGGTAATCACAAGGTATCCGAATAAGTAATGATGCTAATTATATTTGAAGATATTTATGCTCTTAATTATAGTGTTATACTAGTAATCAACTTGTGCATTTGCACAAATACAAATTCATAGAAAAGAAAATAAGTAAATAAGAAAAACAAAAATAATAAATCATAATTTAATTCAAGAAAAAATGTTAATTAAGAAAAGAATTCTGAATATTATTAAAAAATATTTTATATACAATATTTTAATATAACACCATAGAAAATTTGACATCTCTTGATTAGGTAATGCTTTTTAGTTAAATGACATTAGTAACATAATATTGCACCATAATATTTGGATTGAGAATAATAAAAAATATATAAAATTCGAATATGGCAACATGGTAATGAGATATATTGGTGTTTGAAATATAATTCATTATTAATGATTTATATAATTAGATATTTTTTTTTTCTTGTAGGTGGATATATATATATATATATGTATATATATATATATATTGAAATACATGACTGGATATTTTTAGTTTTATTTCTTAATTATTTGATTTTGTAGCTTTGGAATCTGAATTATTGTGTGAATCATTTTTACGTACTCAAGCATAAAAATTTAAATATATATATATATATGTGTATATGTATATATTATATATATATATATAATAATATATATATATATATAATACATATATAAATAATTATTTTGTTACATTCATTCAACAAATAAATAAAGTGAAAAGGAAATAGGCATGAATCCTGTCAGACCATATCGAAGAATGAGCATTACATCATTTTGAAATCTGAATTTATGTATAAAACTATTTTTATGTAATCAAAGAGAAATGAAATTTGAAAAGGAAATAAGTATGAATTCTTCCAGATCAGATCAAATAGTGATTGTTAGATAATGTGATTGATGGGGAAGAGGTGATAAAAAACGTTACACAATTGAGATGAGTAAAGAAAAAAAAAAATAAATAAATTAAATATTTTGTAACCGAATGTAACAGTTTTAGGTGGTATGTAAAAACTAATGAAATTGAATGTTGACAATTTTGGAGGGATAATAAAATTTAATGCAGAAAACTAATAAAATTGAATGTTGAAAGTTTTGGAGGGATAATAAAATTTAATGCATGATAA